CTGGAGCCTATCCCATGCAGCACAGGGGGGGCTGGAGCCTATCCCATGCAGCACAGGGGGGGCTGGAGCCTATCCCATGCAGCACAGGTGGGCCTGGAGCCTATCCCATGCAGCACAGGGGGGGGGCTGGAGCCTATCCCATGCAGCACAGGGGGGCCTGGAGCCTATCTCATGCAGCACAGGGGGGCCTGGAGCCTATCCCATGCAGCACAGGGGGGGCTGGAGCCTATCCCATGCAGCACAGGACATGGGCTGGGGTACATGCTGGATGGGCTGGCAGTCCCACTCTTTTCAGTAGAAGTACATTCCATTGGGGGTTTTGATAATCCTTGATAAAGCTGCTTATCTGGGACGTACATTTCTGAAAACATCCAAACCCCTAAAGGTGAGTTACCATATAAGCAATTTACAGTTTATTTCCAAATACAAATAAATATAACATTCACGACTGTGCCCTTGAGGAGGTGTCCTGTCACACACATCATATGATAGACGCTCTTTTTGCCCCCGCTCCTGTGGAAAAAGCATTGAAATGGCAGACGAGGACGTCTGTTGAAGTTCTTCTTTCCATGGTCTTAGTTATTTGGCATTTATTATAATAGACTGAATGCCACCACTGCAAACATACACTAAGCTTTGTCCAGTTACAGCAAACACACTCCACCAAATTAACCCACGCTAAATGTAAACAGCCATTTGAATACTAGCCGTAAACTGCGAACTGAACTTGATTGGTGGCAATTAGGACACAAGAAAAAGTCTTTTTTAAAACATAGGTCTACTATAAGCATGCCAGCAGTGCCCCCCAGTGGTCAAGTTATGCTGTTCCAAACTTCAAGCCAGATATTTAGAAGAAAGAATAGCAATGTTTTTTTGTGAACCGTGAACATTATTTTTGCGATATTAATATTCCCATAAAATTTCTTGAATTTTATATTTATTTTGCATTATTCCATCCATCTTCCACCAAATTATCGTGGTCAGGGTTGCAGGATTTTTATATATATTTCTCTGGGAAAAGCATGTTTATATACAGTATTATAATGGGTCATTTTTCTGTCATACAATGTTCAAAAAACAAATAAATAAATTCGTATTTGAGCAGATTAAATCTGGTGCCATTCTAGACATTAATTCTGCCTCTTGAATGTGACATATATAGTGTCAGTGCTGTTAGCTGACTGCCGAAGTGCATGATGGGAAGTCTGTGCATACCGTGATCACAGGGTTCACCGTCGTCCACAGATAAGCACAGATGTTAGGCCCGTGTAAAGTCATTTTCAGCTGGCAAAGTAATGACTTATATTTTCAGCACATGCTGCTTCGATTATATAATATATATTATGAAACTGGTTGATCTGTAGTAGGCATCACATCCCAGGCTTCACCAGGCTGTAATGTTTGCTTGGAGAATTATATTCTCCTCTGCAGTTGTGTTGTAATGTCAGCATATATCCACAAGGTGGCAATGAAGTGTTTAGACTTACGTACTGGCGGGCTCTGACTAAGGAGCAAGTATTCTTTTATCATCGTGCAAGTGCGACTCCACTAACACAACGAAATTGACCAGGCAACAAGGTCTTTCCCCTTCATCTGTGCTGAAGTTGTACGATAAACGCATCTGCAATACGTCTGTAAGGGACATCTGGGGTTTCTCTGCGATCAGCCCTGCTAAAGATGTCAGAAACACCGTCAACTCATAGGAATGCCAAAAATGTTGGCCAGCGAGAGACATGAATAAAACTGTTTTCTCAAAAAGCACCTCCCTCACCCAAAATGTAATGTTTTTAGGACCTTGTTGGAGTGAGGCTTTAAATTACAATGTTGTTTTACATATTTAATTTGTTTAGATTATTCAGGGTGACTCACATAAATTTTAATGTAAGATATATATGAAGAATCTCTACGGTTGACAAGAAGCCAGAGTCATGATGGGATGTGGAGGGACTGGCTGGTTCCAGATCTGCTGAAGGCCTTATTATGGAGGCGTGTTATAACCATGCATTTCCAACTTAGACAACATCTATAAGCAAAGCCGGACTGGAAGAAGACGACTGCGGACCGTGGAGGAAGAAGCACAGACGACGCTACACCTGGACAAAAGATTATGGAGGATTCCCACCTTTGAGGGCATATATATTAAATAAAATAGCTGTATAATTTTATTGCTTAGCGTTCTGTATTTACTATTCGAAGGGGTATCTCAGTACAGCCCCCCAGAGACATGAAAAGCAACCTTTTTGGTCATAAGTCCAGCTCCTGATGTTATCTGCGGCCGCAAGACTTTTATGTCTTTCCCCCGATCTCAGTCACATAGTGAGCTGCTAGCAGATTCAGACACACCCAAACAAAGGCCCATCTTTGAGCAGAGATCTCCTGACATACGAAAGCCGACGGATCATCCGGTTTTGACCCTCCTGGTACACGGAGGTTGACTGACACATTTTTCTTAACACGCAGAACCACAAAAAAATTTTACGGTCAGTATTATTATTAGAGTTACTTATTAGAGACATGTATACTCAAATCAGTTTAAAAAGCAATTACAAAACTATTAATAAATTATTACTTAATAAAGCAGAACATATCCTTGGTGTTCAGTTTACGTAAGTTGCTAAAATATACTACAGGAAGAAAAACATTTTCAAGGAATGATCTGGGGTGGCTGTAATTCCTGATTTCTCTC